ATATATATATATATATATATATATATATATATATATATTTATTTATTTATTTATTCGTTTTTCTTTATTTGTTTGCTGATTATACGCATTTTCATGCATATTAAAATTAATTTAATGGCTTCATTGCTGAAATATTTCGTTTCAAAAACAAATTCATTTTTAGTAATATGTTTGCTCTAATTCCTTCAAATAACTGTTATCTTGAGACTTTTTGCACAATAAATACAGCTCTGTACCAATTAATGGTGGTAACTATACAACTAAATATTTTACAGTATACATTAAATAATATGCTTTATGTTTAATTTTAAGGTTTTCAGAAAAAAATTGTGGCAATGAATATGAAACAATGGATATCATTTTGCATCGTCACTTCGATTCTGTTTTATGCTGAAGGTGGTGAAATAAACAAAGAAGGATTGAGTTTATGGAGAAGAACAATGTGCATTGCATTAGGTCGGTGATTAAAATAAATAAATAATGTTTGGACCTTTAAAAATCTGTTAAACAAGAGAACTTAGAGAAATTTCAAAGCTCTCAACCTATTAATTTTTATAATTTGCTGATTCAACAACCGATAACCGTTATTATAACTTATCCATTTTAATAATTTACCCTTTTTCAAATTCACTTAAGTGACGTCAGGGTGGTTTTTTTTTAGCAAAATACATACACTGTAAAATTACGGTATAAAGTTACGGTATTACATCCATAAAATCCATTTTTACCATATTTTTTCTCTGAAATATTTATTCAATTTAGGTGATTTAGTCTTTTTATGGCAATTATAAATATAAAAATTATGGTTTATTATATTTTTTGTACCATAACATGTTCTAGGGTAAAAATGTTTTATATATATCTTTTTATATATATCCGATCTATGGTAATTCGTGCGTGCCAGTAATATGTTTTTTTATGTTTAACAATGTGTGCCAGTAATATGTGTTTTTTTGGTGAATTAAAACTTAATATTTAATATTAAAACTTAATATTCAATTAATTTGCGGACACTGCTTCACGGAAAATGATGTATATTTTTCTCGAATAAAATATCCCCCCTAATTCCGAATAGGCCACCATTTTTCACTGTCATCTGCAATCTAAAATAATTTGTATCAAATTACAGCATAAAGTACCAATATTTTCGGTGCATCATCCATAAAATCCATTTTCACCACGAAATATTATGCAGTGATTTTCGCAGTAATATTTATTTCCTTAAACTGATTAAGAGATTTTATGATAATTATTGCTGTAAACATCACGGTATATCAGATTTTTCGTTTCGTAACATGATGCGGTAAAAATAGATTTTGCGGTAAAAAGTTCTGTCATCCAGAGTGACGGTACTTCTAAGCAGAATTTTTTTAGTGTACTCGCAAGTTTAATATAATAGGATTTTAATAAACTAATAAAAGAACGATGTAACATATTAGAAAGTTATGTATATTAAAGTGACTTATAAAAATCGAATTGGAAATTTCGAACGAGTAATTCAGGGTGAAAAATACAGGCACCCTGTGCTCCGGTTCTTTTTACCGGAATTTTTTTACTGTGTATTTGTTTCCCATAACACCCTCCCCCGATGTTTTCAACTTCATGGAACTTTTTTTGGGTTTTATGGAACTTTATTTGGGTCATTTGATTAAATGTATGTATTTTAGACAAATATGTTTTATCATTTGTTATTTTATAATTTTCTCATTATATTGCTATAGGAGATAAAAAAAAGAGTGGAATAGTAAAAAATTAAAAATGACGATAATTTGATAATGATATTATGATTAATTTGATAAAACAATAGAATGATTCACTTAAAAAACGATAGATTGATTCATTTACTTAAACGGTAGAATGATTTATATTCACACTCTAAAAGAGTTTATTTATTATTACCTTTATTCCTTCGAATGTTCATCTCTTAGAATTTTTCACTTCAATAGTTTCTAAGAAGAAATTTAATGGTTATATTAATCATTTTCCCTTTTTGAGGGCCTTAAAAACAAGTTTCAAATCCTCACGTTGCGAAAACTTTATAACCTCTTTACAGTCACCTACTTTTAGCCAAAAGTTTGGCTAATTATTTACAATATTTTAGGATTTTTTGGGAAGAAAACGAAGGGTTAGAATTTAAAATATGTGGGAAATAAATATTAATATCATGTGTTATTTCTAACAGTTTAAGTGCAAAATGCCCCTAAGTTCCTTATTCTAGCAACAACTTCTCGTTTAACAAGATCTTGATTCAATTCCTCTTAATATCTTCCTCTTTCTACCTTATCGGGCGAAACTTTAAGATTAAAATAATCATTTTTCCTTTTTACAAATCGAATTCATCACCATAATATTGGAACAGTATTCCCAGAATACTGCAAATAATTAAGAAAGCATGACTCATATTCTAATTCAGGAGATCTTTTTACATACGAATCAGCAGATGTAGCAATAAAATTAAAAAGAAATGCAATGCAGTGTAGTTTTGCCTCAATCATACAAATACGTTATTTTTAGCCGTATTCATTTATTGTAAATAACTGATTGAAACTCATAGTTACTTTTTACAGAAAAAGGCGATAGTGATTTCTTAAATAAGATTGATAGCTGTTTTAACTTAGAGGAAAAAAAAGTAAGTATGTATAATAATTTAATTAAAATTTTTAGTTGATTCTTTTGATTAAAAAACTTATTAATTAAAATAGGAATCATTCTTTGGAATCTTTCATTAAGTGAAAAATTAATATATGTAATGTTATTCATGAATAGTGTTTCAAACGTTTTTATAGAATATCAATTTTTGACACAAATACAAGTTCTTTTGCAAGTACCACCCTAAATATCAATCCCTAAATGCCTTTGCCCTAAATGCTAAGCAAATCAAGTGATATGGATTTGAATTTCTACTGAAATTTATTACTATATTTTATTACAACAATACTTGATTTTCGGATTTATTAGATTTATATAACTATATTTCAAAATCTAAAGACAAACAAGAATAAACACGTGCTTTCAGCTTGCTCTCAAAATACTAAGCAGCTCTAACATGCCATCGACGTTGATTTTTCTTGCGATAAATGAATGACAATGATCAAAGCTAAATAATTATTAAAGAATGTGTATATCTTCGTTCATCGTTCTCATTTATCCAACATGCCGTGTATCCAGCATTATATGTCAATGATTCTTTTTCCCTGCATTCTTCTCGAATAATCTAAATTGCCTGTATTTCTAGTAAAGGTATTGAAAATGCCCGTGCCTTTCGGTTCATATTTCTGAATTCTAATATATTGAGCTGTAATCCTATTATATTAAGCTGATATATATATATANTATATATATATATATATATACTTCTGACGGTTTGAAGTACTAATATTAAATTGTTCGTTAATATATCCCTAGAGTCGTGATTGCTCAGGGAATACAGCTTTCGCTTTTGAATGTGGTGAACTGGGTTCGAATCCCAGCGATAGCTGTTCGATACTAATTCCGTATCTGGCTTGCAACGATCACAATGGGGACGTAAAATATCCTTAGTGCTAGACGGATCATGGGTTAGAGTCCCCTTGCCGTTAGGCTAATCGTGGGAGGTTTTGTGGCTTTCTTCTTAATGAAACGTAAATGCGGGTTAGTTTCATCAAAGAGTTCTCCGCAAAGACAAATCTCTCCTAATACTTGATCCAGGAGTTCCCTTGTCTCCTGGTCACTAGGATTGGGTTCAATATTACGAGGCTACAGAGTTGAACATTAGTAATCGTAAATCCCAAATATGGGTCGACATTTCAACGACGGTTATAAAATATAAAATAAAATATATCCTTACGTGTGCTTATTTATTTAGGAAAACTACATATTTATTTACGAATTATAGCAAAAAACAAACAAAAGTTCATAAACGTGCTTTTTTCGAATACGCATGCCATTTTTATTATGTATTTGTATTTTCGACTTTCAAAATAATCTGCTATTTTAAAAATATGATCCCAATAATTTGCCCCAGAGTGCGATAAAAAGTTTAAGGCTATCAGTGTCAATTTCGTTTTTCGTTTTATCTCTTTATCTCTTAAAGATGATTTTATAATTTACAACACGCTTTTATCTCTTCTCAGATTATGCAATTTCGAATTATGAAAAAAATCCACAATGAAAAATATTGAACAGATAATTACTGTTTACTACGATTTCAAAGAAGTTCTATTTTAAAATATTCGGTTTAGATCAATTTAACCAAACTAATTCTGTTCCTTAAAATTGCTTGTACTTAAAATAATGTAAAAACGTGTGTATCTGGCAATATAAAGGTACTTGTAAAATATTGAAAGCATGCTTGAAAAAATTAAATAATAAAATATAATAATAATTTTAAAAATTTTATTTTCTACAAGGAATTAACATACGCAATACGAAAAAAGTGAAATTTTACTTTAAGGGGCCCAAATTTTGAACCACATTCCTGAAAAATGAATTCTTATTTCATTACATATTTTAAGGTCAAAAATCCAATAACGTCGATGAATTATATGTTTAATTAGAAATGATTACCTTTTGTGTCTAATTTCGTAACTTGAAATAAAACGCATCTGTTAGTTTACATAATTAAGACAAGGTACTAAAACCTCTAAAATTGTATCTTAGTACATAAAAGTTCGATTATTCAATTAACTGTTAAAAATATATTCTTTCTTTTATTTTGTTCATTGAAGAACCAAAAGTCAAATTTTTTTGAAATGCTTCAGTTATTTCTCAGTAATAATAGTCTAAAATTAATTTTAAAATTGCAGTAATAGATAATTTTAAGATGAAATTGCTTAATATTTAAAATTAAAAATAAATATCAGTATGTACAATTTTATTTTTCAGTTCTTTGTTGCTTGGAAGGAATGCTTGGATGAAATTGTGCCTTCCACGGGTGGTAGTTTCGAACTTTTTCACAATATTGCTTGCCGGGATCATTCAGTTTATGACAAGGTAAGACTTATTAATAATAGTGTTTGTAAAAAAATACATTTTCTACCAATAAGTATTTGGACGCGTGTGATTAAAAAGAAAAGCAAACTTTATTCATAATTAATAGCTGGCAGAGCCTCCAAGAGAGGCAATTACAACGTGATCCCTCCAGGGCATACTTTCCATAAGTTTGACGGCTAGTGGTATTTTCTTCCACTCGGCTTGGAGAAGACGTGTAAGTTCCTTCACCGATTTTGGACGGGTAGTACATCCCTTTATATGTCAATCCAACTCGTATCAGAGATTCTCGATAGGTTTCAGGTCTGGGCTCTGGGCAGGCGAGTTCATTCGATTAACCCCATTGGCACCATACCAAGCCTTGGTGACCCTCGCAACATGACAGTTAGCATTGTCGTCCTGGAAGTAACAGGGGTCGACCCCGTAAGACTGCCACAACGTAGGAAGCACATTGACATCGTAAATAGTACAGTAGGCATCTTTGCATGGGACTAATGCCGATGTTGTTCCCTACACGATATATACCGGTTGAGGGTGTGACGTATCTCAGGACTGCAGATATAGTCATTTGCATACGTGTCCAAATACTTATTGGCAGATAGTGTAGATTGGTAGATAGAACATCATACAGTACTTTCATTTCAGTGATTTAATTTTTCACAATAAAGCAGGATTTTAATAATTATTATTGTTACAAAATGAAACACAAAAATGCATTTGCTTTAAGCATACAACAAGATGAGTAATATGATATAAAATAGTTGTGTTGCTTCTTATTGCAAAAATATTTGTCCCATGTAGAAAATTATTTTCTATGCATTTCTAATTACGTAAACGTGTCTAATAACCTTGAGCAAACTAATCTTCCCGACATAAAGGTTTGATACCCAAACTTTTTCATCCATACAATTACCAAAATTCAACGCAGTTTAATTTTTAGAACGTCTATTTTTTCGATAACCGAAACTAAAAATGCGTGTAAGCACTTCAAGAGATGCAGTTCGTTTAAATACGTGGAAATCTGTTCAATATATCAAAAAAATAAATATTTAGCTTCATTTATTATTTTTTTTTCTTTTCTTTTTTTTCCTAATGGCAGGCACTGAATTTGAATCTTTGCCTATGAAGATGCCAGAATTGTTGCTCATTTAGCGTTACCCAGTAGGCACCTGTGAACCAAAGTCATGGAGACGAGCAACATTGCCCACGCCACACTGCCACAAACCCGTTTATAGGGTGGGCCACATTCACACATCACACACGCACAACAGAGGACAGCACAGAGAGAGAGAGAGAGAGAGAAACATCCATGCCCAGGGCGGGATTCGAACCCGCAGCTAATGGCTTCGCAGTCAGTCGCGCTAATTGCTCGGCCACCTGGCCGGCGCTTCATTTATTGTAATTTTCAACTAAGTAGTGCGACTTTATCTGAATTAAGGTTAATGAACTTGAAAGGAATATAAATAACTCAAAAATTTAAAATAATCCATTGTTAGTTTTAAATTTCTCGCAGTTAGCTTTTTATACAAATGAGATATTTCTGCAATTCATAACACTTTAATACCTTTCAAATTCGATGGTAATCATAAACAAGTTTTTATTTTAGATTGATGAATGTATGACAGAGAAAGGAGAAGCTCGAGGAATGGTAAGATATGTATATAGATAATTTTTTTGGGAACATAGGTTGATTTTTATATACTGAGCATTCGGGCAACAGCCCATTGTGAGCCAGAAGGGTCATGGAGGTTAAGGCACCAGAACTTTATATCTTGCGGCATGATTTTTACTATGTGGTCAGCATTGCGCACAGATTGTTCATAGAGTTTAAATTATCTAGTTACTTTTTAAGTTGAAAAATAAATTAACATTTTATAATAATAACGATAAAAGAGTACATTTCAAGAACTATTTTGAAAGTAAGTATTTGACTTATAAGGAAGATAAGACAAATGGAAATAGTTTTTCATCAAAATTAATTAGAATTTTTTTTTAGAAAAAATTATATATTTATTCACAGCATGACATAAAAAATGATAGGAGAGTTTTTCTTCACTTATATGGCATAACTTTAAAGTTTTTTCAAATGTCCCAACGAGTCACATATTTAGATTTGGTAACGACGCATTTTTTCACCAGCTACAATCTGAGAATTTGCATTAAAATAATAAAATTTAAAAAAAAATATTTTTCATCAATGGTTAAAACACTTTAACATAATATCGTAGTGTTAATGCTGTTACTTTTTACACTAAAATTCATTTTTACCCTAACATTTTATATCGGGATTTTCATGCAGTAATATTTACTGTAAAATCAATGAATCTCTATACTTAAAAAAATACGACTGTAAAAATTACTGTATGACATTTTACAGTGAAAATATATTTTCCGGATAATGCAGGTTACAAAGTGTTAACACTTTATTCTATAATTTGATCCGAATTTGAATTTTAACGAAGTCGTATATTATATCATAAAAAACGGGCGATGAGCATGGAGTAAGAATTTCGTCAGGACTTCATAAGTACGTCTTAGGGAAGCTGAGAAATAAACAAGATTATTACGAAAAAAATTAAATTACATGCCTGGAAATGCATTAAATGCCATCATTTTTTAGAGCTGGACAAGACTGGTGTAGGGTATCTACCACTACAAAATTACAATTACAATTCACTAGTATATAAGACATGTTAACTCGATTCTATGAGGTTCATAGATGATGGTTGACATTGTCGATATCTACTCTCCCCACACTGGCTTTAGGTTTCGAAGGTTGAAATTTAGTTTGGTGTATTTTTAAGTGCGGGTCAATAAATTTTTTGATTTGGCTCTTAAGTTTCCAAATAGCATTAAATTACAATTTTAGTACACCAGTAGCAATTCTATTATGTTGAATTCAAAATGCATGGTTGTTGTTTGACAATTATAGTGATTAAAAAAAGTTGAAATATTAAAAATATTTTAAGATAAAAGAGCACCTCCTCTTATTCAGTCATTTTTTTACATGTACTCAAGCAAAAATACTTCAGCTTTTTATAAAAGAATATGTTTCTGAACGTTAGTCGACAAAGTACACTGAAAAATGAGCAAAATTTACCGTGCATCTGGCTCTATGGTAACATCAAAAATTGCGGGAATTTCGGTAAAGAACAATAATACAAGGCGATATTTAATGAAATGAACAATAATATATGGTTTTATAATATGTGATAAACTTTCGTCAAATTGAGTAATTTCAACTTGAAACCATTAGTTAGAAATATTCACAATGCTATCTGGGAAGGAGCTTCATAAACTATAAAGCTCTAATTTTATCTAAAAAAAAACAACAATATCCAAACTTATCTAATAACAATTCAAACTAGTATTTTCATGCAGCCTTTTGAGATACATTTCAAATTAAATAATTTTACGCATTTTCGAGATAATTTTACATTTTACTTGGTTTAATTGTTAAAATTTCCCTAAACCACGTGAAAAAAAATAACACGAAATTTAAGTTAAGATAATTAATATATTATAATCTAAAGGGGAATTTTATAAGTTATAAGTTAAATAAAACATAAGAAACATGTTAAGGTAATTAAATTATGATCAATGACATATTTGCAAATGTCAATTAATGTATTTGACTTATATGTTCAGTTTGTGCACTTTTCGGCAATACTTAAAAGCAGAAAAGTAGAAATTTAAATTCATTACGTAATATTTAAATCTATAAATTATTTTTTAGTAGTTTTAAGCATTAAACATCTAATCTTGTTGAAAATTTGAATATTAAAACATTTTTGTTCTCTTTTTTTCAGCTAGATGAAAAAGAACCGGCAGGAGTAAGTGAAGCAGCATTTCATTTCTATAAATTTATATGCAAAATATCTCTTTCTCTGAACATGTATTAACCAAAAATAGACTATATCAAAAGTTAGCAAGATTGCCAAATACGATAAAAGCCGTGAAAAAAAACTTGATTGTAACAGTTTTTATACTGGCTTGCTCATCATCTAAAATCCTGATAAACAGAAGGAATATCTGAGCTCTAATGATCCAGTGATCCAGGAAGCACTACAAGCCTAACAAAAAACAAACAAACGTTACATAGCATATTAAATGTACAATAAGAAACGTATTTTAGTTGCCATAGCAACAAAATAATGAGAGAAAACTTGCTGCGGATTTTATTTTGTTTTGATATTTTAATGTAGTGAAGAGCGTTGTTTCTACTGTATGTTTAGGATTTCTTCTTGTGGAAGAAAAAGGATCTGCCGTTTGTTTTGTACGCACGATAAGCTAGGCCATATTGAATCATTACGGCTTTTATCTGACCTTCAAAAATTACCCACTAGTAGTAGTAGTTGAGAGAATGACTATTCGTATGTTAGGTATGCCAGTACAGGTTTTTGATTTGATCATTGAGAAGTTGAACAGTAGTTGAAGTCTGTATCATCAAATCACATCTGAACTATAAAATGTGACGTTTTTAGTTAATATAGAGGGGAGAGACGAGATAAGATTAGACAGTTGAATATGACTGGGACACTATGTGATTGAGAAAGTTGGATCTTCCATCTATGTATATCTGAAAGAATTGCGTGCCATTATAATCGATATTCCCGGATTGCTGTGAGATTATGTGGTGAGCTCTAATACTCAAATATCACGAAATTTACTTCGTTTTTGACGAAACCGTTTCTTGGAATATGCACCGAGCAAAAATTTCCTCAAAGTGACAAAATAACTACCGTTACTTCTTCAAGGAAGAGAATTTCGTCAAAAATAAAAAGCTGCTTCGTCATTAAAAAAAATACCATGAGGCACTCGCAGTGTTTATCTTACGGGTGGTATTGTTGATCACTTTTTTACGTGGTACCATATAGGTAGGTCAACGTCGCCCCAATAATGCAAGAAAGGCAGACAGAACAGAGAGATAAATTACATCCATGCCGTAGTGGGACTCGATCTATCTCCCCAGGATTTTTCTGGCTTGAGGTCAATTTCGTGATCCCAATACTAGCTGGTCGGCTTATTTCGTCATTCTAGTTTTATCATCTAGTCTTCATTTTAATTAACAAGTTCCCATAATGCACTGCTATGAGGTTCCGAGTTGAAGAAACATTTTCGTCATATACTTGAGAGTTCACGTATCGTCCCAAATCACAGCATGAAATGATTCTCAAAAATAATTAAACACAGCTCAATGATAGACGAGTCGACTAAAGGAAGAGTTTTATTCCTGAGAGTGAGGACGAAGGCAGACAGAACGTTTTGTACCACACAGCTGTGTGTTACGTTTCTCGGCAGACATCTTAATGAAATGTGATGACATCAGTACACACTTAATATCAAAATACTATTCCCTTCATAAGGGATATGTTATAAATGCTTCTCTACAATCCATGTTTATGGCTTGAATTATGACATTCGAGCTATAGATTATTATGGAATTTAATAATATAATAAAAGTTTAATGGTATTTGCCGCGTTAAAATTTCGTCATTTATTTTACTCAAACTTAACTATTCTCTTGAGCTAACTCTTCAATCTATTGAGCTAACTCTTCAAACTTACGCAAACTTAACTAGGCAAGTCATAATAATAATAAATAAGCAGAATTCCTAATAATAAGCAGAACGGTACTTTGACTCCAGATATTATTTTTTAATTAATCGTCAAACAATTTTGCAACCTTTTGAAGTTTTCTTTGTTTAAATACTTAATAATATAATAAATTTTCCTATTTTATAAATATTGTTTTCTGTTACAATAATTTTAAATGGAATAAAATGCTTAAATTTGCATTTTTGTAGATCACTTACGAAAAAAAACTTCTCTAACACCTTTATTTAAAAGCTTTATCATTGATATCTTCCTCAGTCGTAGATTTATCGTTCAAAAATAATAAAAAGGCTATCGACTTAGATAATTCCCGAACACTACTTGAAACTTGTTAGAATTTATTAAAATAAAAACAACTTTATACGAAATGGTCTGCAATCATCATTTTCAATAAATATTTTTAGAACTCCAGTCAAAAATAGAATTTTATTTAAATAGTTTGGATATTTGTAGATCTAGAGGTTTTAATCTTTGAAAAAGATTCTTAATACTGAGCGTTATGAATTTTTTTGTGATTGTTATTTTTATTTTGCAGATGTGTTACAAGAAATTATTCAAGAATTCTGATTATCCAGAGCTACTAGTATACTTTCGTCATGAAGGTTAGGCAGATTAATATTCAAGAACTCTGCATGTTTCAGCGAGAAAATTAAATTTCAATAAAACATACAATAAATATGCAGTTTCTGAATATTCTGTTCAATAATTTTCTTTCTTTAAAATTTTTATAATAAACATAGTTGAAAATATTATTTATGCATTGTTCACCATAGCATATTGAACAAATATAGCATTCATACTACAGAATTAGTTAAAATATTTATGAGGTTATAAGGACATTTCAGAATGTATTAAAAATAACACTTAAATTTTTTTTTAAATCTAATGTAGCCCAACGTTAAATTTATATCTTAAATACAATTTAAAATAGACTACACTGTAGAAAATTCTTGATTAAATTACGATAAAAAGTACCAGCACTCAGGATGCCGAAATATTTTATCTATAAAATCCATTTTTTCCATAAAATTTTGAAGCACAAAAAATTTACCGTAATTTTTGCAATTTTTTCAATAATATTTACTGTAAAATCACTGAATCACTGTAAATAAATAAATATTACTGTAAAACTTACGGTATAAAACTTTAAGGTAAAATGGAATTTTTCAGTAAAATGGATTTTACTGACATAGCTCCCAGGGTGCCAGTGCTTTTAATCATAGTTTGATCTAGAATTTCTTACTATGTGTCTATGTATGTATTACAACAGAGGATTCAATTATTTTTACCTTTTAACAAAGAGTAAGCAAACCTTTAAGGGACAATAAAAAATTTCACTCAAAATATTCATATTTTTAGACTTAGTAGATATTTTTAATCATAAAAATGTAATCACTCGTATTTTTCTCGCTTGTTTTTCATACATATGGGTTATCCAAAATCAATGATCTATTTCATAGTTCAAGGCTTTATGTTTAAATTTCATTGGATAAGAAACAAACTAAACAATTATTTTTATTCTTAATTTATTCTCTAACTTGTTTAAAAACATTTTTTATTAAAGGCATCTAAGTCTTAAAAATGTTTCAAAAAATGGTAAGTCAAACTATATTTTGTTCTTAGTTTAAACTGTAAACCAATAAATTTTTCGAGATATAATATGTAAATGAGGAATTCGGGATAATTTTTGATGCTCTGAAATTGCCTCAATCTATTTCATTGTTTATCTATGTTACCGGAAAAGTTTAAAATCCCCCATTCCATAGAATACCTAAGCAATTTTTAAAATATCTAAAGTTAGGCAACTAAACATTTCAAAGCAAGAAACGATTAAACATTTCACGTATTACTTTGGTGACTCATGGAACACTAAACTATCAGTCATAGTAGAAAGTACATCAGACATTTTAGAAAATGTCAACATCTGCATCTTATAGAAATGGAATTAAATAATTCTATATGATATATTCCATATAATGCTAAATTTGTATTATATAGAAATGAAAAATCTATATAGTGCAGATGTTTTATAATCTGCGGCTTACACCTACAAAAAGACTCCTAAATGGCAGTGTTTCATTATTTATTTTTAAATAATTTTAATAACCGTCTTATCATGTATTTTTGAATATTGCTTAAAATGCATTTATCATTCATTAGAAGCTATAATGTGCAGTGCCTAAGTAAAGAATACAATAATTCTCATTATTTACATTCATACATATTATATTTGCATAGTACAATGGAACGTCTTGTTTTATGCATTACCGGAAACATATAATTAAACAAAGAAACTAATAATAATACATTTTCCAATTGAGCTAACTATTCAACTTTAATATTCTTGACATTTAATCAATTATCAAAAATGGTCAATGAAAGCTATGATATAGTAATGTCAAAAATATTAATTCTTATACCTTAAATTTGCTCTTAAAAACAAACCGAACCATATGTTTTAATAGTTCACCAGATCATTTGAGATCAATGTTGAGAATCTTTAGAATTAAAATAACAATTAATATGACTAATATGACTAAAATATTAAAATGACTCTGCAGTATAATCATACGTTTATCACATTTCATTTCTGTTAAGAATATATAGCTTTGATAAACATCTATTGTATGTAGTTTGAGTTAATTTTTGCTGGGAAGAATCACGATTTTTTTTTCCAACTCAAATCAATTAAATAATTATATGACTTAAAAGATAATACTAAGTATTGAAATAATTTACCATCAAAGTACCCTTTATAATATTAACTACTCACGACAATTTAATGTTACGCCTCATTTAGCATCACAATGACAAAGTAACAACTAACACACCTATAACAACTAATCAAATAATTATGTTGTGTTTAACAATGAGATGATATAAAAGAGTGCAAACATGTTCCTTTAGTTGATTAAATGTACGATTAAAGTAAGTGCAGGTTTTAACTGATTTAAGTGACAATATAGAGAAATAGAAAAAAATAGAGATAGTGAAATCACAGAAGTAACAGTATCCATTTCTTTCATGTATTGTATCTTTTATTTTTCATTAAATGATAGCAATGTGATATTAAGGAAACTACTGTAGTGCCTTATACATGGAATGTATAGGTAAAGAAAATTAATTAAAAATAATTTAGTAGCTATCCCAGATAGCAAGCAACCTTAAATCAAAAATTGAACTTGCCGTTTCCTTTGATTGACACAAAGTTGGCTGGTTAGTCATTGTTCCTATAAAACAGAATGGTTACAAGGTCAAAATAATTTTTTAAAGATGGAATAAAAACAAGTATACATCTTCACAAAATATATGTTTTTATCTTTAGTGGTAAACCTTGGTTTTTAACTTTTGTCCCCTTTGTATGTTAGGGTGCTCAAATGCAACATTTTTTTAAAGATGCTTTGCAAACCTCAATGCAAGTAAACTAGAATAGTTAAATTTAACATAGTTTCAAGTGTTTCCATGGTTTATTTTCTAATCATTTATAAACCTTGTTGATTTTTTGGGGTAAAGGTTTTTGTCACATTAAAGTCAATCTATAATGCCATTTGGGCCATCATTGTGTTAGATTTCAATTTTTCTTTAGTAAAAGTTAGAATATATATTGTATATGAATTGTAATATTATTAAAATTTTATTAAACTTTAAAACAGATTTAAATAACAGCTTAGGGGCAAAAAATTACAGTAAATTTTAAAATTCAGTTTAACCTGCTTGATAAATAATATTTTTTAAAAAAACATTTCAAATTTAGTTTCGTCATTTTTTAAGAGATGTGTTGCTACCTGAAAATTATAGAACAATATATTTTATCACATATCAGAGCATTAAACTTAAAAGATCTGTAATTGAAAACTGATAGTTTTTTCCTCATACTACGCTTAATGAGTAACAGTATGAGTAGCAATGAGTAATAGTAATGAGTTAAGCAGTGAGTAATAGTTCTTCTCACTTAGCAACGCCATCTTATGACGAACTGTGTAACTCATTTTGAACCTTGAAGAGATTTTTTTTTAGAATATTACAAACGTTTTGCATTTTATCAAATTATGCTGAAAAAAATTTCTTCAAATGCTTAAATTTTAATAATTTAAGTCACCATTACTATATAATTTGCATTGCAATGAAAACGTACTAATATATTACATTTTATTTTTTTATATACATTTTTCCCCTTTCAAATAAAATGTCATACGCATGTAATTAAGGAAACAATCAAAAAAATTTCTTTTTCTATTTAAAATAAGATTAAAATGAAATATTGCTTTTAAAACAGATATTTATTAATTTCCTTTCCTCTGACGTTCGCGTTTGTAGTACATTTTGATATAATTATATTATGAAGCAAAATAAATTGCTGGAATAAAAATTATTTAGAGATGAAGGTGGCTCTTTTTGTTTTATGTATACTGTAACACAACATGCATACAACTCAGTGTTTAAATAACCTACAACAGTGTTTCTCAAACTTTTAGTGATCTAATTTTCAATCATAATTCTCATTAACCCCTGAGGCAATGTATTGAGTTTAATTTTATTTTGTTTTGAAGCTGAAATTGCAATACGATCTCAGCAACAAACCTTGAATATTAGCTTTGTACTGCAATCTATTGGGAAAAAAAGTTTAATAAAATTATTTTCTCTTTTTTTTCTTTCAGTCAACAATAGAAACTTATATGAAAACATCAGAATCCACCAACACAAATGTATATGTTACCGTTAAAGTATATAATGCAGTTATTTCATAGAATACCTAGTAATTCCATGAAATAACTGATCGTGTCTGTTAAAGTGTGCAATATGTTATTAATTTGACACTTTAACTAGTTATTCTATGAAATAACTAGGTATTCTGTAAATTAATTAATGAGAGACAGTTAAAGTGTAAAATAAACAATTTATCTAAAATGAAATAACTAGGTATTCTATAAATAAACTAATGATAGACAATTAAAATGAAAACGAATCAATTTATTAAATCGTTAGCAGATCGTTATTCTATGAAATAACTAGTTAAACCATGAAACACAAGAGAGTTTTACACTTTAACGGACTGCAGATCGTTATTCTATGAAATAACTAGTTAAACCATGAAATACAAAAGAGTTTTACACTTTAACGGACATGGTCAGTTATTTCATGGAATAACTAGGTATTCTGTAAAATAACGGATTTCATACTTTAACGTAAACATATATATAAATTAAATTGATAAATACTCAAAATACAATAATGCATAGTAACTAGATATATATTACCTAGTAAAGTTTCTTTCTGTGGAAGTGTGATGAGCACGAAACGTTAGAAAAGGTCTAATAAGTATTAATTTTGCTGCTAATTTAAAATTGTTAAATTAATTTTTAAACACATTGTCCAGTACTGATAATAAGCCTATATATAAGTGTATATCAATGGAAAATTGTATTATGTTTTCAGCATATCAGAATATATTTTGTTACTTTTCTTTCAGTGAATTAAATAAATATTTTGTGTTTTGTTTTAAATATGATTGACAACTTAAGGTTTTTTAAATGCTCCACCTTGCGTGGCCCATAGGTAAACAATTGCTACTGCAACAGTAATAATGTATACTCCATTAGAAAAATCAAACAACAATGACATTAAATGGGGAAGAATGTTAATGTAGCCCTGAAGCAATTAAATTAAATACGAAAATGCTTGTTTACTTTCGAATTATAACTTGCGTGATTTGAGATGCGACTCTAACAAATGATAAATGCAAGTATAACAACATTAAAAATTAGAGTGTACTATTGCTTTGAAATTTTTCGAAACTCACATTCTTCATTTTACGTTTGAAGGTAAGGTAAATTCAGTTGAATCAGAACTTCTATTCATCTAAAGTATAATCATTGCTCATTGCAATGTTTAAAAAAATTATTAATGTAATAATTATTCCCCTACTGATCATAAATTAAAAAATTTATTTGTCCTTATGTTAAATATAAAGTCATTTAAGGCAATAAAAATATTTTTGGAGATACCAAAACTTATCTCAGGAATTTATGCGGTTAATCACTCGAACTATGTTAAAAGACTAATGGTTTAATTGCGTCTAAATAATTTAAACTGGTTTGTTTGCTAACTTGTCGATTGGTTAATCTGGCTTCTATTTTCTTTGACTATTTTTATTTTAAAATCGTATTGGTTTATTTTTTAAACTTCAATAATTGTAAAATATGCAATACTCCTTTACAATTTAGGTTTGGATATGATACACGTCGAAGGAAATGAATATCGTTTGCAAAATACAACCAGTCGAAGAATTTATATATCATTTGATTAAGCTGGTATTTATTATGTTTTTCAAGGCCAACAACAGTAAAAAAAAGCAACTGTACTTGATTTTGTTTCATTAGCTGTAGTGTACACTAACGAAAATAAACATCAGCGGTAAAATACAATTAATTTAATTAAAAAATTCTATTTATAAATTTTTTCTGGTTTATTTATTAGATTTTCAGGTTTGATTTATTAATTTTTCTGTTTTATTTTATTATGTTTTGAATACCATTTCGGGTTTATTTCATTATTTTTTCTGGTTTATTTCATTAATTTTTCAAATTTATTTTAGCAATTTCTCAGATTTATTTTATTAATTTTTCAGTTTTTTTTAACTTATTTGTTAGGTTTATTTTATTAATTTTTAAGATTTATTTTATTTATTTTACTCATATATCTTTTTAATAACCACTATTATTACTTTATTAAAGGTCAAAAATGGGGAAAAATGAAATTGCTTTTTTCATTTTTACTTTGTCAATAGTGTTTGCAGAAGAAAAAGAAGATTATGGACAATATGGGAACTATAACTTGTGGCGACAAACTTTATGTGGTGAATGAGGTTATTTTAGAAATTATAGTTTAGTTATATTTTAGAAATTAAATATTGTTCCTGTTAAACCTCCAGCAATACTTTTTTTCTAAAGAAGCTAAGCTAGCTTAATTGTTTTTTGTGAATAATAATTACCATGGCAAAAGAAAGTAAATCATCAATTGCATGATAAATTTGTTTCATATAAATTTTATATTGTAAGAATATTTATTTGAAATAGAAATGATTTATGAACATAAATTAATTTAAGAAATGATTATAAATGATTATGAATATAAATAATTTTTACTGATAGTAAAATCATTGTTTAGGCAGTTTTGTGTATATTTTCAATAAATACAAGTTTTTGTTTTAACCTAATAACAATAATTTATTTTACTAAATGCCAAAAAAGCTATTTTTAAATATTAATCATTTATACTTTTCTTATAAAGAAATGCAATACAATTGAAATTGAAAAGGTAACAAGAACAAAGCCAATTTCAAATTATACAACAATTTAAGCATAAATGTTGTTGTATAATTTGGAAGAAGGATGTGATTTTCATACTAGATTTCGTGTCCCCAAACATTTTATTTTAAAATTGTATTTGTTGCAACAATTTTTTGAATTAATTACTCCAATATATATTAAATGCAATTTTGAAATTTCGTATTTTCTTAGTTTAAAAATACATGTTTGGTAGAATCTAATTTTTGTAACATGGAAAAAAATTTTTTTTTTAAACATCTCCGTAATGCTTCAAAAAATATTACTAATGACTAAAAGAAATGAGTTTAAAGCACTATTGGGTACTTGGACTTCAAGAAGCAGAACATCATGAACCACACACGTGACCAGTGACGTAAGCACCAGCTCATCGCTTATGAAAAAAACGACATGTTAAAGTCGAGCTTAATATCGCCACATTTGGAATATTAATTAACTTGCAGTTAATTAAATACAACACCGCATCACCCATCGAATTTGTTAAGATAAAATTATTTTTTGTCAACATTTTTTACTTAATTCAGATTCATTAATTTTGCATTTCACTGTAACAGTGATATATTTTTATTTTGTGTAGCTGGCAACTTCTATACATAATTTGTTTGTTCGAGTTCAACATGTCTGTATGCCTGTCTTTGTGTTAAGTTATAAATGTATGGTGAAAGAATTGAAATTTTTGCGAAAGAATCTTTGTGAAAGCATGTAGAATGCGTCCGTTAAGATAATTGATTCTTGATGGGCTTGGCTTACTCGAAATAGAATGAAAAGAACGGTTGCTAACGTAGCCAAATGCCACTTTTCAACAGCCAGTCAGGATCAAGATACCCACACTATATCACTTGCAGGTATCTCATTGCAAAGCCAGCTTTTAAAATAGTAAAAATAGAAAATACCGCTTGACTAGATGAAAATTTCAATAGTTATAAGTAGTAAGATCAACAATAATTTTCACAAGTGCGTTGAAGAATGCACCACATTATGATGTTGCATGAAATATGTTAATCAACTAATCTTGAATAAACATTGCCGTTTGTAACGTGAATTAGAAAGACGTTTCGATGATGTCATTCCGTTGATGTCACGTTACTTAATCATCCAAATTGTTTTTAGATAAAACAATTTATTAGTAAAATGTAAATTTAGTTATTTTTTGCTATTGTAATTATGTTTTTTTTTACCAATATAATAAATATATTTTGTTATTAATTTGATTTTTTTTTAGAAAGAGATGATGATGCACTCAACAGAGATGTACAAAACTGCATGACATATGAAAATTCGCATGTAAGAATTTTTATTGACTTTATGTAGATTGTTCAAAGTAAAACAGTATTTCCAAAATAATCACTGTTTGCAAAGCGAAAGTCATCTAACTTTATTAATTTAATGAACAATATTAATAATATTTATTTATACGGAAATTTGCGATTATTTCCACTAATCATTTTTATATCTATGAATAAAAAAATTTACTTATATTTTAAATATTTTTGGAACAATAATTACTTATATTATCATAATTTAGACATTTACTTTTGTTTTCATGAGATTGGTTTTGTGTTGATACTTCACTTCATTAAAAATATACAGTCTGCGAAAAATGTTAATATTATTCAGGGTTACAGTTATGCAATTTTTACATCTAACTCCACACAAAAAAATTTGCTTGAAATTATTGAAATAATTTTGCGATCAAATGATAACTCATATATTCATTATGCTGTTCAATGTTCTTGAAAAAATAAAAATTAAAAAATCGTACTTTTCTGCCCTGTAGACGTAAAATAAGGACAATAAAATAAGGCTTAGATATCAAATATTGAGGAAAACCCTTTGGCTTCTTATAGTAAAATATTTCAATTGAAAGACTTCAGGTGATACAATTGTAAGTTTAATTTTAAAAACTAGGCAGTACAGTGTTTGTAGTGAAAAACATCCCCTGTAGATCCGTGTTAGTACACCAAGTTCCATCCTTTGAGTTTTTAGTTGGAAGTTTTGGAAACTTTTAAAAACCCAATCTGCAGAAAATATCAAGAAACAATTTGTAAAAAATTCTCTTTCTTAAAAATAACACTTTATCAGTGTATCGTTCGAAATCGTTCAATTATAGTTTTGATGAGAAATGTACGTATGGGAGTGTACATTGTAAGAAATTCCAAATAAAATTAATGTAAAAATTACATACACCCTGTGTATTAGTACTTTTTATCATAAAATCTATTTTTACAGTGAAACTTTATACCTTAAATGTTTTTCAATAATATATATTGAACTACAGTAGTGAAGTAAATATTGCGGTAAAAATTACGGCAAATCAAACGTTTTTTCCCGTAAAATGTTTCTATAAAAATGGATTTTACTGTAAAAGGTACTGAGACCCAGAACGAAGTAATCACAGTGTTCAAGTAATTTTTAATTTAAGTTGTTTTAGAATTCAGAATTTAAAAATGTAAGTATTTAACAATAAAAAAGTTTTTATTCGAAAAAGATAGATTTCTTTCACTTTTTGCCCATTTAAATTTCGTTCTTTCTGATGATTTTAATAAGTTCAATAAATTCGATTTACCATAACGTTAGGTGAAAGGCGTCAGACGAACGAGAAGCTTTTTGTCAAATTATTCGCAGTTTCCGAACGAAAAACTATTTTTTAAGTTTTTATTTCCGTCATGACAACGTTTCCATGCTGAAAGAATCTTACTGACATAAAGTTTTATCGCTATATCTACAATTTCATAGCAAAAAAAAACATTTTTTTTTCTTTAAAAAGTACTAACTCTTAATTTTTTTAGAGTAAAAACACATTCTAAAAAATATTTGCATTTTTGTTTAAAAGTAAATTTAAAAATTAAGTTTTAGTATGCGGAACAATTTTTAAGAAAATAGAGACGCATTTTATTGTCAGAAATTAACACATTACTTTAGTATGTTAATTTTTAATCATAAGAGAAGCACAAATCTGACCTTTGCTATTATCAAATATTGTTACAAACTATAAACATGAAATAAATTGTTTCTAAAATAAACTGTTCTTTAACTATCACAAAAAGTGATGTTTGTTTTCAGAAAATTTAATTTAGTTTCGACCGGGAAGTCCAAAATAAAGCAAAACATTAAAAAAAAAACTTGTATGAAGTTTTTACTAAATGTTGTAGTTTTCGTGATATTCATAAGAATATATAGTAGACTATTGATTTTTGCATGAAATATGTTTACTTAACTGAACTAACATTTAAAGAAAATTGCGAAAGACTAGCTTTTTTTATCTTATTGTTATTACTACAATTATAATTTCTCTGCCACACATTTTACAATGTATCTCATCACAGTTGTGGAATAGGTTTTCTAAAATTGTTTCCTTCTATCTGTATTCATATCATTCAATCATATTTAAATGCATTAATCTAATTAAAATATTTGTCACTTTAAAAACCAGGTCTTAATTTATCTTAAAGTCTTGTGTTTTTGTATTAGTTCTGACAAATTTTGGAATTTCTTCCGAGTACTAAGACATACATTTAGGACACTTATACTTATAAATTCCGAAACTGAAACACCGAAAACATAGGACTGAATCTTCACTCTTCTGCTTGCAAGTATTTAATGTTTATTGAATAATTAGGAAGCATTGATTTGAAATATATTGAAACATATTGATTAATAAATTGTTTTAGTTGAACCACAGAAGTTAGTTGAACTCAGAAATTTGAATGAAATTGCGTATTTTATGATAGATATGAAAAATTATTCGAAGAACATTCAGCAGCGAGTTTCTAAAAATTATACGAGGCATTCAAGTATTATTATTAAATAGCGCATTTTAATACATGAAATATAAGCTCCTATACAGATTATTATTAAAAATATTAAATGAAAAAAAAGTTCCAAGTATCTTTGATATAAAATATTATTTTTTCGGATTATTAATGATAAAGAATGTTCAACAAAAAAAATTTAGAGAATATTTCACATATTTACTACTCAATATAACCTAAATTTGCAATTTAAAACATGTTTTGATGTATATAAAAACATAGAGTAATTTATAGAATATGAAAGAAAACGAAAACAATGTATTTTGAAGAATGTTCGTCATGGATAAGAGCTTTATAATGCTACTCAAAGTTATAACATAACAAGCAATAATGTAACCGTAATCATTGTTTGAAAATAAAAATTATTAAGAAAAATTCCTACATAGAACATTTGATTTAATAAAAGAAGAATTTTTACTGTAATCAAATATAGTTTGGAATAACAAAAATAAGGCATTATTGAAACACATTCCATGTTTCTGAATAGAGTATTTCGGGAAGTTATTCAAGAAAAATAAGAAAAATGCAAGACTATTATTAACGTATACCAAAAGTATCTGTAGCTGTTTTGATATACAAAATTAATTTACGAGAAAGCAAAATAATAGCGAATAATATAGAATGCTCCAAATAAAATAAATATCAAAATAATTGACAGAAAAATGTTGCTTTACAGAAAATGTTTTGAAACAATAAGAAATTCTAAATTTTTAGTTAATATTCCATATTTGTTAGGTGTGCCAGTAATAAAAAATGAAAGTCACGAAACGTTAAAAAAGTTTTCTCATTTAATTTTTTGTGCGTTGTTTCAATTGAGTTTCATTTATATTACTTTGAAGTATTCGCATGATTTATATTTATGTCCTAAGTTTCCATGCCGAAAAATTAAAACGGCGAGATTATTATGGCGAATATTTGTTTGGGCTTCTTGGTGTTCTATGTTTGTTAAAAGAGTTGATATTAAAGAAATGTTTCTGAAGTATAGCGAAATAGAAAAGGAATTCTTTTCATTTTCAAATTTTTACAAGAATATAATTAATGTTTTAATCTTTAGTTATATACTTGTCTACTTGCTGTTAATCGTAACGACAACAAGTATAATGCTTACAAATGAAGATACTTGCAATGCCGGTGTTACGGAGTTTCTGTTCCAAAAAAAGTTACAGCTACATTTTCCACTGAATTTAATTCTAACAATAATGTACTATTTATCAAGTAGATGGATCTTTCTGAACATGATTACCTTTATTAGTTTAATTTATATAGTATGGTGCATAATATTGAATAGAATGCTAGATAAATGTTGTCTGCGGTTGAAATTTTGCTTTTCTTCCGCATTATCCGACAAGTACGGTATACATTTCATGAAAATGTACAATGATGTACATCAGTTGGCTAACTTATGTGAGAATAATTTTTCTAGGACATCATTTTGGGTTACTCTTTCTCATTTTATTCAATTATTTCCATATGTGGCTAGATTTTTTGGATTTGACAAGTTTGATGGTCTTTTAGATGGTGTAGAAAGCATTTTGTATTCCTTATTATATGGAGTACTGTATTTTACAATAGCGTTTTACGCCTCTGAAGTGCATGAGAAAGACCAGTTACTACGTCAGAAATCTAAAGAAATCGCTTTCGACTTAATATTTATAAAGAACAAGCACGGAAATGGACATTTACTGAAAAATTTCTTCGAATCGAAAAAAGAAATTGCCTTCACTGCTTGGAATGTTTTCAAGTATACAAGAAGTTTTCTCTTGACTTCATCGGGAGTATTTCTAACTTACAACTTGTTGATTCTTCAACTAAATTGATGTTTTTTTTAAAAGAATTTGAACTACAGTTACGCATAATGTGATTACTTAAGTGTAAGCAATTACTTTGATGATGACGTCATCAAGCATTTCTGAAGTGTTGCGCATACTTTAAAATAATCGTGACAGAAATCATCGAGTAGAATTGAAGTGTGTATGGTAAATAGCGAACTATTGTCATGAATACACTATAAAAAATTCTGACTTAAATTACTGTAAAAAGTACTAGCATTCAGGGTACCGATAATTGTTAATATAAAACCCATTTTTACTGGAACATGTTAAGGGACAAAAAGTATGATAAACCATAATCTTTACAGTACTAATTGATATAAAATAACTGAATCACTCATAATCATCAATTAAGTATTACTGTAAAACTTACAGAATAATATTTTACGGTAAAAATGAAAAATTGATTGGATGTACACAAAGAGTCGGTACTTTATCCAGAAATTTTTTATAGTGTGGAAGAAAAAGATGTTTTTTTAATAATTATCTCTAACAAATCAATTATGTTATGCGAATCTGTAATGCTCTGTTCTGGATTGAATGTACGTTCCTCTAACTAAAATGTGTTAAAATGCATGAAAAAGTATCGCTATATAAAAGTATCGTTTGCTTACTCAAACTCCCACGCATGATTTCTGATTGTGTTAGTAATGACTTTGATTCTTGAAAATGTAGTATGGGAATTTCAACATTTGTATATCATATGAAACGCTTAAAATGATTTATTGGAATGTAAAACTACACATCAAAACTATCAAAATTAAATAAAGTTTTCTAAACTACCACGAATGATTATTATTTACTAATTCCTTAAAAAAATCGCAAAATGCCACTCTTCATAATTAGTTACAAATTCCTAAAAAATTCGCATTTTTCTTATTTGTAGTAGTGTCATATATTATTGTTTATGTAAGAACTAACGAGGTGTGATATCATATACTTACTGATAAGTCTTAACCCTATGATAAGGTCACTTACTTAACATATATCCATGCTAAATCATCAAGATCAAAATATTGCAACCAAGATTTAGGTTCTACAGCTAATTTATTTTCTATAAAACTAAACAAAATGTATGAGAAAGGCTACGACAATCTAATGGTCGTCTACTGTTGTTCAGATTCAAAACTATTTGCTATTTCCCGAAAACGAAATAAGCATCATTTTAAGTTTTTCCTTTGCTTTAGAATCAAAATATTCTTGTTTATATTTTTTAAAAGTATTAAGCTTATTCTTTTTTTAAAAATAATATCTTAATTAAAGCGCGATTGTAGTACTATTTGCTATCCATTTTCTTCCTTTTATGTCACCTTAAATATACTGGAACAATTCGGTGAATTTTTTTTTCTCTTAAAATAATTGTATCACAAACTCGAAATCGAGAAATATTTTACTCCTATGTTGGAACTCTATAGTGCAACCAATCATTATGGGAACATAAATTTTACCATCAATAATGTTTTAATGTAATGAAATTTTCAATAATTGCTTTACTAGTTTTATAGATCATGGAAATGCTGCTTAGAAGAAATCCTACCCAATGCCAAAGGATCATTTATTGTTTATCAGAAAACTGCTTGTGAAAACAAGTTCATTTACTATATGGTAAGATGATTATACATCTATAATTTACTATATGGTAAGATGATGATTATACAAGTTCATTCACTATGGTAAGATGATTATACATCTTCGTATATAGATGCATAATCTATCTTCGTATATAGATTATACATCTATATACGAAGGTAATTAGCACAATATTATACGTTAATATAATATTGTGCTAATTATCTTCTATCTCAGTAGAATGTCAATTTAAACCGTAGAAGAGATACACCTCCTTACGTATGATATGTACATACAATGGTTCAATTTGAACAGGAATATGATTCAGAATGTGCTGTGTAACGTGCATAGACTGTAAACAACCTGTATAGGAGTTTTACGTACTAAATCTCAATTTCGATTGCTCAAAGACATAACCAAAAATATGTTAGTTATTCTGCCAAGATACATTTAAAATTATTGAATTAAACATAAAAATATAATTTTTTTAAAATAAATAAGAATTTTCTTACGACAGATTGGTATTTTTGACTCTCAAAATATGGAGGTGATGGCTATATATGAAATATTGCTCCACTAGCTCAGGCAGGAGGGTGATTAAAAGTTTAATGGACTCCTTTAATTTTCCTTTTTGCGTTTTTTGTTAGAACTTTTAAACTAAATGCGCAATCTAAATTTGATTCCTTTTATAAAATTCGTTTATCCAACGATAATATAATGAAAAAGTAATTAATAATTACTTACTATTATATTACATTATAAATACGTGCAATTTTTTTATTATTTAATATTGGGTTCTCCGCTATAGAGAACATTTTAGCCTAATTGAACAAGGTTTACATGTAAGGAAATAATTAGTTTAAAGATAATTAATCTATGTAAAATAACTTTTAATAATCATTTTTTATTTTTTTACTATTTATGTAATTATAGTGGAAAATATTGTATAAAAGTTTATACGTAAAAATTAATGTAAGGTACATAATTATTAATGCATTAGGTATGGTACGTAATATTAATATAAGGTACATAATAATAATTATGTAAGGTGCATAATAATAATTATTAATGTAAGGTACATAAATTTTTACATGATTTAAAAGTATGTAATTTCAAATGGGCAAATCATAAAAATTTTAGCAAAAATAATGGTTTTAGCAAAAACGATAGATCAAAGATGATAATTTGCATCCAAGAAATATCAGCTGTGTTCTTTAGTATTGCACATTATTATGCTTAAACCCTCGAACACGTTTATTTATATTGGTCGTGTAAGTAAAATGAAATATCTTCGTTTCAGACCGATGAATGCATAGACAAACGAAAAGCTGTTAAAACAAAGGTAAGATAAATTTAAACAAATTAAAGATATAATTACTTTTTCAGTAGAGAACTATTTATTTCATTATATTTCTATAAATTATACTAACCTGCCTGAAACTCTATGAGCATTTAAGGAATTCATATCCCTGAATGTCCCTATGATAAAACACGTATAAAACATTTAGGCACTATTATAGTACAGTGAACTAGAGTATCGAGGAAGAATCTCGATTCGTAAACAGAATAGCAGGAAATGAGAATTTGATTTGAATTCGGTTCAGTTCAGAAATTTTGGCATCGATACACAGAGAAGGAAATTCTAGTAAAATTACCACCTTGTATAGTAATGAAATTTTTGGTAAACAAATATAAATTTGGTAATAAAAACCGAAATATACGGTATTTAAAATACTAATTTGGTAATTTTTCCATAATATGTGAATGGTTTACCGAGAACTCTGGTTTTTAAATTTATATTTCTTATTGTCACACATTTTATAAAAAAAAACTGAAAAGTATACTTAACCAAAGGAATAGTTTTTATGCCACGCTCTGGAGTATCACGTTAAAATCACCAAATTTTATCACGTTATAAAATTATAAATTTCTTGTTAACGTTTCCAGAATCATTACAAGAACTATAAATTATTAAATTACCGTACATTTATTGTTCCCAAAGATTTATTGTTGAGCCAGAATCACGGTAAATTTTATCATATTCTGGTAGTTCTGACCATACTTTTTTTCCGTGTACTTTCTAACGAAAGTGTTATTTATTTAACGTATTATGTATTATTCATTTTTCAATATATCTACGTTAAAGCATCTACTTCTATAATTTTTTAAAGTAATTTGACAATAGAAAATATTTTCTTATCCAGAAATTTATAATTATACTAAATAAACGTTGTATCAATGCCACGACGTTATACAACAGGTTCCTTTAAAAATATTAAAACACAGGCACAATGAGATGGGAAAAATATCATCTCTGGAAACTGAAGCGAAAATGTAAATCGGTCAATAAAATCTCTATTTCCATTACAATAAATTGGAAAAAAAGCCGACATATTTTGATTACTTGCGCATGATGCTCATTCTCAAACCAATAACTTGTGTGTGACATGTTAGTGTATAAGATTTTATCAAGGAATCTTGGGAATGGGTGTTCTGTTGGAACGCTCGAAACATGTCGACTTTTTTCTCTTTCGTTATGAATGGAATAATTTTTTGTTATCAATGATGCAAAATGAAGCAATCTATATTTGTGAAACAAATTTTCGTAAAATTTTTTATGACACTTCAAACTTGAAATATTTCCAATAAGAAATGTTTAATAAATACCGAAGAAAAATTTGTGAGCATTCTTATTTACCGAATGTTAATAATTATCAAAGAAAATTTCTTACGGCTTTCTGATTTGGAAATTACTTAAATTTCTTATTAAAATACCTAATAATTATTTTATACATTCAGTTTTAATTTGACAAATCAGAAAATATCTAACGTTTTCTACTTTCAATAAACTGAAAAAATATCATTATCGGCATGTAGTTAATTATTGGTTATTGGGGAGATTTTTGCCATCCGAAAAAGAATTTATTACTGGCTAAGCAGTTTATAATTTCTATTTTCAGATGCAGATGAATGAACCTGCAGCAGTAAGTTATATTAATTTCTATTAAACAAATATATTTAAAAAACTTATGTGAGATTCCGAATTAAAACGGTAATCGTCTATATTAACTCGTAAAACGTTTTGAAAGCTTATACCCGATACCCAATGAACCAGTTTATGTAAATAAGAAAAATCGCGTTTTTTTACAAGCAGATACTTTGAATATGAATGGGCTTTTCACAAAAGGTGGGAATAATGGCTGTAATTCTAAATTCTATTGATATTAAGAGTACGTTATATTTGTAACTCATGAAGTATACACTTCGATTTAAATATAATTAATACTGTAACAACTTTTATGATCAATGTTCTGAATAGTTATTCATCTTTACCATATTTAAGGGAAAAACTAACAGTGATGCGTTCGCTTCATTTTATCAGGTAATATTAAATTTCAAAGATAAAGAAATAGCGATTTGTGAAAGAAACATAAGAAACATGAAAACACAAGAAAATGATTACGAATTGAAAAATTAATTTAAGGGGGAAGCATGTTTAAAGTACTCACTTTAGTGTATTTTTGCACAAATAAACGGGGTTATGTAACGTTACATAATAAACGTTACATTTTTGATCATGCATCAATGTACATTTTTTGTATAGTAACAAATTATATAAGAACCCGCACATATTCTTGGAGGAGCAAATTTTATTAAATCGATAAATAAGTAAATAAAGAGTAAGACAAAAACGCAAATAACGTATGTCATTCAAAGGTGGTAAAAAATCTGAAAAATTACATTACTGATGCTTTAGGTGAAAAAACAAGAAAAGTATGATATATGTATTAAAAACCAAAATTTTTACCATTGATTTCATAATTTTCTCGCTTATACGGTAACAGCAAACCGGAAATTCTGATTTTCAAAATTATAGTTCTCCTTACCACATATTTAGTCAAAATACAAAACTGAAAAGTAAATTTAACCAAATGAATGGTTTTTATTACTAGTTGTAAGATATCATAATAACATTACCAAATTTTGTCACATGTATTATTTTTTTTCACTTATTGTAAAACAATATTTCATTGTTAATTTCATTGATATCATTACCAAATTGCTTCGGTGTAAGTTACTGCGCATTTTGATGATCCCATAGAGTCAATAGCACGGAAAATTTTTACATATTCTGTCACCTTTTACCATACTAGTTTTTGAGAATTATTTGACGAAAGAAATTTTTTAATTTCTGTTTTTGTAGTTCTTTCTTTCTCTAACAATATATTTACTTTTAGATTTGTTTTGATGATATATTGAAGAAGCATGATTTGACTGAGCTGCGAAAGTACTTCTTTGATGAAGAATAGATGATTTTTTTTTAACAAAATAAGTATTTGTCAAATTTGTAAAATTCATTGATATAAAATAAAATAAAGATATCAACAATAGAGACTTGAAATAAGTGACTTTTACTTGCAGTTAAGTGTCATACGTAAAAATTATTGTTTCGCATCGTTTAATTATGAATTACATCAGGAAAATCAAAGCAAAAAATTAATAGCGTGGATAACATTTAAAGCCTAAGCGTATGAAGAAAAATTAAAAACATTTCATTTTAAAAATTAACAGAATGCTCAAGAAAAAAAATTTAACCTAGAAAATATTTTTCTTTCTTAAACAAAAGTGCTTTCCTAATTTTAATATAAAAATGTAAAACTAGGTTATCGAGTTTTTAAAGGTGTTCATAGGCGATTTGTTTAGTTTTTTGATAATATGTTTTAAAAAAATACCTAGTTTAAATATAAAGGCTTTATTACTATTTTTATTAAAAGTAATTATTGCAAGAATCTTTTTTATTTTAAATTGGTTTTCTTGAGCAAAATATTATTATGGTCCTCTACATCATTTTAAAAAATATATACATCAATCGTATTGATCTAGATCAAGTATAGTGATCTGAGAAGGTTTAGATCTTTTTTACGTTTGTTTTGACATGCATTGTGTTAACTAATCACTGCTAACTATATATTAACATACAAAATAGAACACAAAAGCACAGCCTGTGCCCCAGTACTATTTTAGGCATGATTTTTTCAAGCAAAATTAATAGATTTTTTACTTTTCGAATGGTTTGTCAGACCAACATATTGTTATGGTCCTCAATTTAATTTTATTAATTAAATCGATCACGCATACTAATATGCTTGTTTGGGAGTGTATTCGTTAATTAATCCCTGACATCTATTTTTTAATCTACAGAATAGGACACAAGAACATAACCTGTGTATAGTTTGTATAGTTTTGAGAGCGGTGGAAAATATGCTAATATTATTTTCGATTTGCACGTGCGTGCTTTAATACTTTTATCTCATGAACAAATTGTTTAAATCAAATAATTCAGACAAATAATTATGAAATTTATTTATTCAAACAATAACTTAAAACTTTTGTTAACTATGCATGAAAATATATGACAGTTAGAAAAATAACTAATGCAAATAAATGTTTATAATATGTTAAACTACAAAAATTAGGTATTTCAAACTGTCATTTCTCAAGGGGAAGGCTAACAAATCTATTTAATATATCAGCATATAAAGCTTTTTTATTAAAAAAAATGTCTCATATTTCAAACCATTACAGTATACTCACTCTTCCCCTTTTTTTAAAAATTGCAATCTTTCTTCCAAGGCTTTTAAAATTGCCTTTAAGACTCTTTGTTTGTTATCCACGCACACAAGCTAACTCAATGATTTGTGTTTTTCTTTTATTTTACATGTTTTTCCGATTTTGTTTATTCACATTTCGACTGTTCTGTCAATAGTCATTTTGAGTCATGGACATTTTTCAAAGCTCTTTGGAATTAGGGGATCTATAAATTACACGGGAAACAAATTTTTTGCAGCTTTCATAAAAATATTTGATTTTGCTAACTCGGGTGGGGGGGATCAGTTTTGCTCCTTAAGCTGCAGGTTTTTTTAAATGACATTTTCGGTATATTTTTGTCGACATGTACAAGTTTAAAAGCATTGTTTGTTCTATATGACGCTCTTAAACATGTACGTATCGATATCAAGCAGACAAACAGTTCCTAGTTAACAAACAGTTATCAAACAGTTCTTAGAGAAAGAACCCAATTGCAGGTTTGAAATCAGCCATAAAAAAGTAGCTAAAAACTGTTAAAAAGTCTCATGCAACAGATGAAAAATGTTCCACAATTATTTTTTTACACACTATACAGTTATTTGTGAACCATCGTTAGAAATAACCTACCATTTTTAATTTTTTCCATTTATGTTTTATACTTTATTCTTCATAGATACTAATCGACTGTTAGAAATTTCTAGGTAAAAATGGTTAAATAGAAATTTATTTAATTCTTATTTTACCATATTCAACCCAAACAGTCAGATAATCATAAATAGAGTGATATTCAAAATGTTAAGTGGGAAGAGAAACATTTATTGATTGTTTGCGCCTAGTCCGGTTTAACAGCTAGAATTCTATCTGAGCAAACTAGGCTCACCTTATGAAGCCATTTTGTTCCGAAGCTGAAGCATACTGAAGCTGAAAGATCTAATCGGTCAGTGATTTGACCGGCTAAATAGGAGTTGAAATCCCAGCAACATCATTATTTCAATATATGAAGAACTTCCATTGTCCTGACTCTTCAATCGGTGACCCTGGACAATTAGATTACAAAACTATCATTCACGCATAAATTGCGCATCAGTCACAGAACCTCAATGTCTGTTTAAATTTCGCTTTTATGGTACAGAAACTATGTTATTTGAAAATAGGTACAAACCATGTAGTTTTGCATGCACGATTTTTTAACCGTATACGATTGTAAGCGATTTCAAAACCATTAAGGTAAAAAAAAAAAAATTCCTAGCCATAAACTTTATGGTTAATTGGCTGGACAGATTGCTGCCTGTTATTTTACCATAATTTTAGAATGAAAATTGTAACTGTGTACTTCTCAATAAAAAAAAATTTCTATGATCAAATTATTTTAATTAAAAGTTTCAAAAGTATCAACATCCTTAAAAAATGACAAAATGTTTCTGAACCCTTTTCCATTTTTAAAATATTAATTTGTCACTTTATATAGAGAAGTTTAAAGTTAAAATAATATTTTTAAAAAAAACTAATAACTTAGCAAAAAGCAGAAGAAAAAAACTTATAAAGGATTTTTTTAACGTTTTGCATTATTTGTTTTGGTAAACATTGGCTCATTTACTTGAAAATAATTCTTAATGCCTGATTCAATAAGATTTCGTGAAAATTTATAGTGAAATAGCCATTAGAAGTGACCTTCATTAACTTAATAACACTTTCTATCCACTTTTTTTTTTAAAACACTTCAAACATATTTCAAAACAAAACAAAAAAGTCATTTTTCAAAAATTTATTCGGATGACTAAGAACTCGTTTCACTAATTGAAATTAGTCATTGCATGTAATATTTCGAATGCTTTAAAATTATTTATAAAAGTAGTGAAATGTTTTTTTTTTTTGTGAATAAATATTAAATTATAGGCAAAAGAAGATATAAATATTGAGGCTCACTGTTTTAAAACCTGAGAGTGGAACTGCTGGATTACATTAGATTGAATGCTCTTTAATTTGTGGTAATATTACTATTGGTTTATATATCAGTATTGGTGTTTATTACTTATTGTCTAAACAGCTTGCCATTTACTATAGGTATATTCATTGATTTTATTACTTTTAATTCAATTAGATTTCTTCGTTGAGAAAATGTTTTATAAATCTGTCTTACAGAGGAGAAAATTCTGCTAAAATAATCATAATTTTATAACTATTGTGTATGTGCAATATAATTACATACTATGTATGCACTATATTTACCGTATTGTAGGCAATGTAGTTAACGTAATGTATGCACTTCCATAAAATGTTGCATCATTCATAAAATAACATATATTATAACATAATTTGTATATTTTTATATATTTAAGGAGAGTGATTCAGTGATTTTACAGTAATTGTTACTGTGAAAATTACGGCATATGAGATTTTTTGCTACGTAATATGTTTTGGTAAAAATGGATTGAAGGATTATACGTTTGAATGCAGGCATATTTTATCATATTTTTTACAGTATGGTTATGATATTTCTGGTAAAAAAAACAAAAAAATACAAGTCTGATTAATAATCAAACTATACATTATTGAAAATATTTACTTAGTAGTTTTTCCGTTCATATTGTAACTGTGAACCGGAATTTCTGGTTTTCCAAAATACAGTACCTAATTAACAGACATTTAATAAAAAAATTAAAAACTGAATAGTAAATTTAATCGTGTAAATGGGTTCTATGCTATGATCTAACTTATAATAAAAAATTACCAAAGTTTTGGACATATAATCAAATTTGCCATATATTATAAGACCATAGTTTCTTGTTAGTTTCATAAAAATCACTAAAAATTAAAATTACCGAAATTTAAAACCCGAAAGGCGTGATTAATAGATAGCTTATTTTTGACGATTGATATGGCATCAAATTTCGCAATTATATCGTTTTCTATGTAATGTGCTTATTACTTTCGCATAGCATTATGCACACTTATAGGCGTTATAACTATGAAATGTTGAGTAAATATTGTAGCAAAATTAAAAATAATAAGCATGTAGCTATTTTGCACTTTAATACAGTATCTCCTTCGAGCAAGTCAGTAAAATTTTTAAGAATGCTGCGAGTCTGTATTCAAGAGTACTGTGAGCGCATAATTACCATAATATGATTCCATAACTAAATCAGATATAATTATATTTTTTGACATTTCATATTTATTTTTTTAATGTTATTTATTACCTAATTATTATGTTTTATGATAATATTAAGTTTAAAACCCTTAAAAAGACGCTAAAAATTAATCAGATCTAGAGTTTTAAATATTTTATGTTAGAGGAAAACAGGATTTCAAAATGAGCTTTCATATCTTTTCCTACTTTTCAACAAATTTTGTAATATTACCATAATTTAATATTATTAAAAGGAATATCAAGAATTTATTTCAGTGACTAAGACTAATGGCATTTTTGATGAATGCCATATGCATTAAAAATTTATGCTGCATCATTTCTAAACCTATTAATTTAGCTGAATATTAGGTCTTTTGAAACAACATGAAGAGCTATAAAAGGTAAATGTCTGAATTTCTCAAATTGATTAATTAACTAAATATTATTTTACAGAATAAATATCTCCTCGAGAACTGTATATTTAGTAGGTAAGAGTTTTATATTTTTAATATAGCTGTATAGTCACTTTAGTTACAATTAAGACTCATTTGTATAGATTCTTTACTTGAAGAGAACCGTTTTCATGTCTAAATATTCAAACTATAAATCCAATGTGGTGAACAGTA